CTCATTGAAGCACATTTGAGTTCAACTTGAAAATCCAATATGATAGAAAATATTTGGAAAAAGAGCAGAGCTACATTTTGCACCAGTTGAATTCAGCCGAGAACATATTTTGGTTTGAAAACATGAAGCTCTCGGACTGATAAGAGTTTCATAAATGAATCAATGAAAGTTATGCAAAGATGCTCCTTACAAACACTGACCTAGTAGAAGGCGGCAGATCAGACATTTTTTTACAAAACGACAGATGACAAACTCGAACAGATGTCATGTAAAAGCGGATCTTTCATCTTTCATGTTTGCTTTTCCTCGTTTGTCCACTGAAGACTATGAACAGGAGAGAAGTGATGTGTCCTCTGTCTGTCACAGCTTTCCCCTGAGTCCTCAGTACTGGGACCGTTTAACACCTTATTATTATGCTGCTGTTGTTACTGAACATAAACATATACTGTACATATACTGTACGGATTCCATTGTCCAGCGCTCTCTTTATCGTGACTGATAAATATTCAGGCTCCAGGTCTCCAGGAGTCAAAGGTGGACTTTTTAGCCATAAAGACAAAAACGCTTGTACAGTAAGCGATACACTAATTACAATACCACAAGTACTAATAAATACTAATACAAAAAGTTCTCTGAATAAGTAATATTATACTACTTTGACAATTGTTTTAATCAAGACGATCCCAGGTTCAAATCCACCTGCAGCCTATGCAGACATGCTCTCTTCATGTAGGTGTAAGTTACCTCCAGGTGCTCCGGTGATGCTGGTCGGATCTGTCATCACCGAATGAATGGAAAATATTGGTACTCCGAAACATTTTGAAGCGTTTTGCATTACGTTCACCTCTGTGAAATGAGCAATATAAATAACAAATATGTTCTAACTAAAACAATGTAAAAGAAACAAGAGTTTTTTGTGGACGTGACTTATGTAGTCATGCCCACTGGATGTTTTCTTGTGAGATGCCAATACGCTCCCATGACTCCTTTGACCACTAGGGGTGGGCTAAAATATTTAGATATGAATGAGTGTAGTAGAACGTAGGCGGGCCCCACATGCTGCAATTTCACCCCGATGTTGGATGAAACTGCCATTTTTAGTTGTTTTTTAAAAAGAGTTGCTTTGATCAATCAAAAACACTCACTTTTTACTTTATTAATATTCTTCGATGTCACAGCTCCAGCTCCACTACTTTGGTCACTGGTGTAGATCGGTCAGAGTCTTTCCTGAGATCCTTTGTCCGTTTATGCAGCAGTCAGATTGGCGTTGTGTATTTATTTAAGAGTTCTCAGACGTATCAGTGACACAGACGCTTCTACCACGCCTCTCTTCTCACAACAAAGTCCGGTCTTTTTGACAAGTCTTTCCTGCTTTGCACGAGCTGCGTGCATGCACCTTGTCCTTGTTCTGTTAAAATATGTTTTTCCATAATACAAAATATATTATTAGTATATTATATAGTATTGCAACTTTGATATCGGGGGCAGACTATAGAAGTGCACTGACTCCTCTCTTTTATAATATTGTTTTAGCTGAATATTTAGAGTTCAAATGTACTAAATACTGTTTATCATTGAGCCACAAAGCAGAGAGAAGAGCACTAAGTCATCTTTAAGATGATTTTGCATAATACATCACCTTCATAAGAGTGTCCTGGTTAAGGTATACTTTCTTATCCTGGTAGAGAAATAAGTCTACTGCATTTGACCTCTCCCTCACTGCCACTGAGGCCAATGTCCAGCCCTTCCAGTTGTTGATGCTCTACTTTTATAATATGTTTTGTCACTGTTTACAATGAAGTGAAAGAGATCAATTATAATAAAACATTTGTGGGACTTTTGTACAGCTACATAATATTGTAATACAAACAAATTACATTGTTTCCGCAGCATCTAGACATATTATAAACACATACAATTGTAGGACTACCTTTAGGATTATATGGTGCAGGGAAAGTGGATTGGCCAGAGAATACACCCACACTTTTTCGTCCCACAGTGGGGACATTTGAAATACCATTGTGTAAGCACTGAAAGGGCATTGAAAAAAAACATTCCATAGAGAATGAAAGGTGTTTTTCACTGAATCGCCTCTCAAGCTGCAAACTGCTAAGATTGTGGAGTTCCTTTGTTGCTGGATGATTCCTCCACTTCAAACCAATATGTCTGAGCCGAGGTCTTTCTCAAAGTTCTGAACCGAGGCCTGCGATGACGTCAATTGTCTATTCGTTGTTCGTCTGTTAGGTTTTGATTGCGAAATGTTGGAATAATAATAGGTTTCAAGTCTGCAAACATCAAAGGTCCTCTGGCACAATACTTCACACAGATAAATCAGGGCTTTTTGCTCAAGGGGACTGAAGAAATCTGGTCAAAAATCTAGAGATAAGGACCACCAGATAATCATGGTTGTCTTCAGTCTGCAGTGTGAAGATGGAACATAGAGAATAAGGAGGAATCTATCCAAAAGGCATGAATAATGTACGTGCATTCACAACGAGTCCAGGGTTGGTTCCCCCCTCCAGAAGGGGACTTTCTGTGTGGAGTTTGTGTGTTCCCCCCGTGTCTTCTGTTTTTACCAAACACTACAAATATGTACAATAGGAATGAATGTAATGAGTGTGAATGGTGGTGATGATGGTCAGAGGCTTTGATGATGAACAGAGGCGTATAAAAACAAGCGGGTGGTGATCTGACACTTGACATTCAATAACATTCATGGACATTGGTCATCTGCTCCTATACAGAGATTCTACTGTTGTGATTTAGGACTATACAAGAATACATTGAATTGAACTGAAGTCTCTGGGTCATAGCTGCAGAGGACTTCCTCCACCCCAAGCTGAGGCTGTGGCTCCTTCTAGTAAGCACTGTTGGTGTGGTATGTGTCGCCCTGAAAGAAAACCTCCAAACATAACATTACACTGCTAAAAACTTTATAAAGGACACCATTTGACACAAGATACCATAAAAAAACGAAAGATTTTTGCCATCCAGAGATACAAGTTACCATGCAGCATAGCTTTAATGGCTCTGAAATTACCGTAATTAGTTTATTTGCTGCTGCAGTCCCATTACAGCAGATTAAATTGAACTATGTAATACAATCTATCTAACTCGTCCGTCCCTTTCCAACAGTTGGGTTCTATCACTAGTTTTCACATACAGTACAGATATTTTTAGCATTGGTCGCATACAAATATTTTTTACAATAAGATTTATATCTGATTTGTTCACAAATGGGATAAACAACATTTATGAAAATAATAAATCAAGGCATCCTGCTTTAACCAGGGTAACTTTTGTACTTGTTGGCTTGCTTTTAAGTTTATGCTAATGAATGCCTTCCTGCTCAAATAATAAACAACACACATCGACGAATCAACTATAGACCTTTCGAGTTACTTTACAAAAGCCAAAATTACAACCGAGCTCATGCTGCCTCTGATAGATGTAAAGCTGTGGTTAAATACATATGCTAACACAAGCATTTAGATCTCATCTCCAGTTACCGATGCTCACACTTGTATGCTGGTGTCTGAGCCGGTGTAACGCCGGTTTACACTGCCTTGCCGAGATACACTGCCTCAGCTGTTTATGATATAATGCAAACCTGCGCATGCCTGTCTCACGGCAGCCGAAGCAAACCAAGATGGCGGACCGTGAATTGCTTTAAAAGTTAAAATACGAACGAATTAAGACACAAATGTCACTTTAAATGCAATTTGAGGCGAGATGTTGATGGTTCCGTGTTGTCATATGTGGGTTTTAAGAGTCAAAGTTTTGTGTAAAGTTTAGTTGCAGCAGTCAACTGCGCCTGTGAAACGCCTGTGGAGCATTATGACCATTACCGATCATACCATTGAACCATAAAACAAATGATTGCTGTGTATCATCACCATGGAAACCAACTTCTCATTGGAAATGGATATGTAGAACGGTGGAAAATCTTGCTGTTCTATTAGCATTCTTAGAAGAAAAAAAACCGAATTATTCATAAAGAGCTTTTCATACAAACAAATGTCGCACAAAGTGCAACAACACAATAATTGTTTAAAAATAATGTGCCAAGACGAGTTACGTGCTCCCCGGTGGACAAAGCTGCACTGTTTATGCGTAATCTGGGAATGGAAAGAGTATGGCACAAAAAAACGAACAAGACTGAGCTGCCTGCCCAAACTCACAGCCCGAACGAGGACAACAATAATCACAGATGCATCCACGAGGCCCATGGTTACTCTGGAGGAGCTGCAGACATCCACAGCTCTCCTGGGGGAAAATGTGTATGGGGCAACTATTAGTCATACTCTGCACAAATCTGGCCTTCATGGACGAGTGGAAAATAGAAACTCAGTGTTGAAATAACGCCAAAAGTTTTAAATTTGAACCAAAACCATAGATCATTTTTCTTTGACATCACAGTCATCTGTTACTTGAAACAATGTTCATGTTTGTGGATGTACATTTTGAAGGATTTTGTGTTTTCTATCCACAGCTTTATACTGTGATATAGTTTTTTAAACAGTCATTTACACACTCAGTTGTTTTCAAAGCGCAGTTCATACCTGCTTGAAACATTTATATACTTTTCAGAACAAAACATGGAGAGGCTGCATTTCAGATTCTTGCATCTAAAATCTGATACACTCTTCCTAAAAATGTGAGACAGGCCTCTTCTCTGACAGTGTTTAAATCCAGGTTAAAAACAGGTCTTTTCAGGGATTTGATCTGTTCTCTATGATTTAAGATTTTAATGCCTTGTGTGACTGTCTCTAGCCTTTTGTTCAGCACTTTGAGTTTCCTTGTGTATAAATTGTGCTACACAAATAAACTTGCCTTGCCGTTCATATACAAAAATAGAAAAGGTTGCAGAAAGTCAGGCTCCCACATGAACTATTCTTGATGAAGTTAATAATTCATTGTGTAATACATGTATAGCAAACGGTGATGTATTAGCCTATGAGCTGTTGTCCTGATGTTTCTTATTTGATTGTGTTTCACAGATCAACGTGCGCGTCACCATGGTGGACGCCGAGCTGGAGTTTGCCATCCAGCAAAACACCACTGGGAAGCAGCTCTTTGACCAGGTGACCACTGACCCTTTCATATTCTCTTTGAAGTCTCCAGAAAGCACGAGAACGCTGCTGAAAGTAGGAGTACCAGTATCAGTACCAGTATCAGTGTCAGTATTGGAGCAGTGGAATAATTACAGTATTAGCTCATATAAAAACAGGGCCTGGAACAGTCTGTTTTTAAGGTGGGGATTTGAAGCTATTCAGTTCTGGGCCATTGGAAAACACATTGAATATGAATCTAGAAATTAAGTATTTTTTATTTTCCCTTGAGCATCACTGATTGGCCATTTTTTTGCTTAGATTTAGTTTGTCATGAAAGATTATTTTACTAGATTTAAGATACTTTATACTTTATTAGAGAAAAAAGTCAGAGCAGGGAGTTGTTATGCTTTTTTTTCTAATTTCAGACAACTTTTATTGTTTAGATAAAATAAATTATGCTATATTTTAAGAAAATATTTCTCAAAAAGAAATAAAGTAAGAAAGGAGTAAATGATATTTGATTCTAGTATAAAAACATAAATTTCAAGTCATTTAGGGCTGGTATTATTTTCTAATTTTCAGAAATCTTGTCAAGTCATATTTCCTTGTTCTATTGGAAAATAATTTATCTTATTTAAAGCAGTTTTTTCTTATTTTAATATTATGTTTCTTATATTTTTCAAGCATTTTTTTCCAGTGACTTATTTTGAACACAAGTTTGACTTCCTGCACCAGCACCAGAGAAGACATTGTTTTAGCCGCTTCCTGTAGAACCTGTTTTTCAATAGCTCTAACCCAACAATCTAAGAATGTGTTCCACTGACTGAGTCTTCAACAATCGTGAATAGGAGCTGTTGTCTTATCGTAAAAGATTTTAAAATGCATGCATATTAATGATTGATCTTGCACTTAAAAAATATTGACTCCACGCCAGATTTGAACCAATCACATCAAGTGGACTGTGTCAGTAATGAGTGCTTTGGAGCTACAGTATATGTCAAGAGTTTATGATGATGTTTATTAGAATTAATCACCAGCGCTTTCCTACCCCGATAATGTACATTCAATATTAAAAACAAAATTGTTCAGACACAAGAGGAGAGGGGTTTATATGGGAATCAACAAATATAATACAGGGTAAACATGAGAAGTCAGGTGTCCTTCGAGGATCCGTGGGAAAACATCGTAGAAAGCAAAAAGGAAAAGATCTGAGGCACTTAACTTAAAAATGATGTATTGTGGAACGAATATAGCGACGTGTTTTGACCACTTTCTGCTTTTCATCAAGGAAAGTGGTGGAAACGCGTTGCTATGTCCCTTCCACAATAAAAGATTTTTAAGTTAAGTCAGAGTACCTCGGATCTTGTTCTTTTTGCTTCCCGAAAATATAAAGACATGAAAATCATTTCTCTACCATGATGCAGCTGTACAAGAGCCGGGACTTTAGGCAGTGAGATCATTGTGGTCATACTCAGCTTTTCCATCGAGCAGGAGAAAAACCTCTCAATGTGTGGAAAAGTAAACCTTCAGGATTATGCCCTGCTAAACCCTGCACTGGAAGAGTCTTTTTTAAGCCTGGTTCACACGGCAAAGTAATGAGGCCGATTTGGCTTTGGTTTCCCTCTTCTTCATTCTTGATTAAAAAAGATGCATTGGCTTAAAAAGTATTCATACCCCATTAAGTTTGATAAGAGCCATCAATGCAGCTTCATGGTTACCTCTGGCGTATCCGTGGAGGACTTTCCTTCACAGCTGTTTTCACGGGATGATGCTAGTTTTCCTTTCTGTTGCTGTATGTGCAGGTAGTAAAAACCACCGGACTCCGTGAAATATGGTATTTTGGACTTCAGTACATGGACGGGAAAGGATATCCCACATGGCTAAAGCTGAACAAAAAGGTAATGCTGCATTTGTATTAGGTTTTTGATACATTGGAGGAGCTGAAGACATTCACGGCTCACTTGATCGGGGGAGTCGACATCGGTATTGGTCCATCGGGGAAGTTGACCAATGTGTTCTCTATTTTTTGTGTTTTAACTGTTTGATTCTCTGATCCGTGTTGGCGATTTCAACACCTTTGTTAAGTTCTCTGAGAGGACAACTGTTGTGATTTAGGGCCATACAAGAATAAAATGAATTGAACCTGAGGGAATCTGAAAATATTAGGCATACACCACAACATCCTCAACTTAAGTGTAATAGAAAATGTTTCATGCCCCAACTCAATTTCTCTTCTTATCTATGCTTTTTATTCATCCTATGATTGGAAGGCGATACTTTGTAAATACTGATCGCTTATCTGTATGATGCTGCCTACAATAAAATAACATAGATAAAAATAAGTTCTTTTGCAGTAGGACAGAGTAACATGTGCGTATTCTAACCAATCAGGGAACGTGGGGTGAGATTGAGAGTTAGGGTAAGGGTTGTTGCACAAAAACATTGATTTACAGAAAAAAATGCATTTCAGAAAAAAAATTTACAATGAAGAATCTGAGCTTAGCTGTAGGAGCTCTTTCAGCTGAACATGAGCAGTTTATGTTTATGTTATGTCTATGGGGAAACTTCAGAAACCCACGCTTTAGTGAGTAGAACTAGCAATAGCTTTAATGTGTAAGTTATTTCCCACTGTGACCTAGTGCAGCCCTTGAGAATTTAAGCTGTAGTACCATGTGTGGCCTCCATCCATGCCGAGGTTTAAGCAATATCCTATCCAGATAATACAATATCCTACATGGGCAGTAGTCGCTCCTCCTCGGATCGTTCTCTTACAAAACCACGCCTCTGCTGTTGCAAGGGTTTTATTCAAATATAAATTTTCACCTTCACTTTTTTGTTTATAAAAAGTATTTGAGTATGCACATTTAGAATATGAATTGACAGTCCTACTGCCCCATACAAATATATAGTGTTCATGAATAAATGCAGTTATTACTATATCTGTGCTCCTCAGGTGATGTCCCAAGAGGTGAAGAAGGAAAACCCTGTGCAGTTCCGGTTCTTGGCAAAGTTTTTCCCAGAGGATGTATCGGAGGACCTGATCCAGGACGTCACGCAGAAGCTCTTCTTTCTTCAGATCAAAGAGGGCATTCTGAGTGACGAGATCTACTGCCCTCCGGAGACCGCAGTGCTGCTTGCCTCCTACTCAGTTCAGGCCAAGTTTGGAGACTACACTAAAGGCGTGCACAAGTCTGGCTACCTGCTATCCGAGCGCCTTCTTTCACACAGGTGCCTGGCAAACAATAATATAACTTATTTATTGTTGGAATTGGTAGAATACATACAACATAGCACTTTGAGAATTCCTGGAAATCTAAGGTGCATTATAAATGAAATGTATTATTATTTAACTGAAGTCGCGATATACTATATATCGTCCTTTGGCAAAATGACTCTTTTGATACTAAAGCTTGCAGAGCCCTGACTTATCCAGACATACTTTTCTTTTTACTCCTTTTCACCCTCAATAATTTCCTTTATCTTTTAAATGTCTTCATTTTCTTTGGAAGATGTTAGGGAAAATCCCAGTGTTGTGAAACAGTAACAATATACGTAGTATATTTCTATACACATATGCCCAACTTCCTCCGTGGTTCAGGTGTCAAGATGAGACGCACAACTCTTCCTCCTTCACCGCCCACGGTCTCCTCAGGTTTCCGGGTCCGCTCCTGGTGTCTCTGGCTCTTGGTAATTGTCAGGTGTTGCTTCGGTGGTCAGATTTTGACCCCCTGGACAATTTGATGGTGGATGACATCTGTAGATAACCTACAGAGAGTGTAATTCAAAAACCTCTAAACCTTAGTATAACATTCAACAGACGTAAAATTATTCAGAAATAATGTTAGGTAATTTTATCGCAAGAATGATTATATAAATTCCAAAAGCACAGTAAATGCAAAATCAATATAGAATACAATGTTGAGATACTAATAATAACAAATACAACCTTTGGTGCCTGCTTCCTCCAACCTCTTGCTTCCTCTTTACGCCACTAGCCGCTTCCCGGCCAGGGCCCTGTAAGGCTGGTGATGCAAAACTCTGTGAGAGCGCTCTCGTAAATCACTGGCGTTCTCCCTCTGCTGTGTAATTCTATTTTGGCTGACAAAGGAGCCCAGAAGTGGAGAAGTGCGCTTCCTCTCCACCCCGACTCAGTCCGCTGCCCCGCAGGCCGAGCGTCCGCAGCCCAAGGCCCTGACTAGGCCTGGTGTACTGGATTGTCCAAACCAGCGCTCGTCACTCTATCCGCTGTAAGCAGGGAGATTTTTCCACAGCCCTTCTGCGTCAATTATCCCCTGAAGTTGTTGGCTGATCAAAACGGCAGGCGATCGAAGGACTGCGTCTGGTCCTCGGAGGTTGTTCCCAATCCAGCTCCGCAGAGAGATCTCCTCGTCTCTAGCAGTGTTGCCAACTCCTCAGTAAGGAAAGTAACTATTGGCTGTCCCAAAAGTCGCTAGAAGTCGCTAAATGACGTCATCGCCTAATTTGCAAATAACTGTAACGGACGCTGTAGGAGAGAGGAATAACGTCGTGGGAGAGACAAAAGTGAGTAAAAAACACCCTAAATATGTTTAGAACTACAAATGTACAAACATAATTTCAACATTAACAACATTTAATGATTTTAATGCTTTGTCTAGATCTGTCGCTAGTCGCTTTTTTGAAAAAAAGTCGCTATAGGGTCTGAAAAGTCGCTAAATCTAGCGACAAAGTCGCTAAGTTGGCAACACTGGTCTCTAGTCTGATTCTAGTTTTTATAGCCCTCCAAGATTATACGCATGCCCAAATTTGGTGCTTCCTTTTGTCGCTTTCCCCTGGCAATAGGGCTGGAAAGTCTCGTCCCAGCAGCACTTCCGGTTCATGGCTCGGATACAAACAAACCGTCAGCTGTTCGAAGAGGCTGTTTAAATGAATGGTGCAAAATGCTCTGCTTTGTTTTCGGCTGTTATCATCAAAGTTTACATGAAGCATGCTCATTTTTTGGGTTTCCCAAAGACCAACTGAAGCTGTGTAAAAAGCTATGCAGTTGTGATAAAACATTTTGTCTGATTTTACAGATGGTTAACTTGAATATGTATTCAAGCTTTTGCTTTTGCTTCGGCCCACTCCTTTTGAGCAGAACTTGAACTGCTCAAATAAATAAATAAACTAAACTAGCTAACTTGTAGCTAATGCTAACCTGTAGTGCGCTGCCGAGCCTTTCATTGTGGCTTGTATTTTAAGATAAGATTAACTTTATTGTTGTCACACAGGATATATTTATTTATTTATTTGAGAGATAAAGGAGAAACATATTAGCACATATTAAATAACATTTAACAAATGTTCAAATATAAACAGAAAACGGACAATCATAATATTAGTAGTAAATGAATAGGTAACCCAACTACATCATGTTATTTTTGACAGCACATCAAAAAGAAAAAAGACCCAATGTGAAGCTGCAATGAATGTGAAGTGGAGATTGAGCTGATGTACAGATAGAAAACTGATTATTCATAAACATTGGCTCATAACCAACGCAGCAAAGATAGCTGTAAGGGACATCAATGTATTTGCATGGGAATAGTGTTTCTATATTGTCTTTCTGATGCATAATAGTGGATTAAAAAACAATAAGTTTGAACACGGCCCTGCACCTTTCTCATCTCCCCGTCATATAAACTTCAGGACATGGTCAGTTCACAGCTAATTCCGACCGCTCACTCAGTTTTTCTGTCCCAGAGACGAAATGTGTCCAAAATAACACAGGAAAGTCCTTTAAGGAGGAAGAAGTCGGCGATCTCAGCACCATACAAGTGGCACGTGTGGTTTGTTTGTATCCGCGGGTGTAAATCTCGCAAAATCTCGCACTTCCGCTTTCCAGCCCTATAGCGAACTATCTAAATGACGTCAGTAAGACACGCCCCCGCCGCCTGTCAACTCCCGCCCACATGTTTCGGACAAACACTGCCGAAATGAATCAAATACCACTTGCGGCACGGTGGCTGAGTGGATAGCACTCTTGCCTCTCAGCAAGAAGGTTCTGGGTTTGAATCCCGGTTGGACCAGGGCCTTTCTGAGTGGAGTTTGCATGTTCTCCCCGTGTCTGCGTAGGTTTCCTCCGGGTGCTCCGGTAGATCTGGCATGTGCCTCCTGTACTGGCGACCCCCACTCCCAAAAATAACAATTGTAAACCGCTTTGAGACTCCGATGTGCAGTGAAAAGGCGGTATATAAATAAAGATTACTTACTACTACTACTTACTACTTGATATGATATAAAATGATAAACCAGGAGCAAAATTCCACCATCAAACCATCAGGGATCATAGACCAATTAAAACGTTGGCTTGAATGTCGTGGTCTTCCAGTAACTGGTAGAAAGTTTGAATTGATAAAAAGGTAATGGTGAGGATTATGCTAACATTATCCTGTCATTTAGGGTGTATTCAGACCTGCACATTTGCTCCACTTTAAACGAACCAGGATTCGTTTGGAACTCTGATCCGAATCTTTTATGCAGGTCTGAATACACACAAACGAATCCTGGTCCGGACCAAAGAACCGAACCGAGACCTACTTTTTGAGGTGGTCTCGGTCCGCTTCCAAACGAATTCTGGTCCAAGTCGAATCAGGTCTGAATACATCCGGTGTCGATCCGACACAACTCCAAGATACGTGCGCATTTTTTGGGCTTAACAAGCCGCAGACAGAAACTGTGAATTAGCCACGCAGCGGCTAACTATGATGCTAACGCTACACAACAACACTGAGCCGTGTGCAGACCTGGAGCAGTGAGGAGACGCTGTGCAACAGGCTTATGGAGTTAAAACTGTTCACAGTATACATTGGTGTTAATGGCAGCATCTTCAAACCATTTGCATTATTAAAAGCCTGACACTGTTTGACTCACGTCTCAAAGAGCAATATTCCGCATCATGTAGTGAACTGTGTTCTTTGGTTCCTACCTGATCCTCAGCGTCTGTTTGTCCCGTGGTTATTATAGATCCATGGTTTATCCACGATGCTGCTGTCAGTAAGTTGTGGAACAGGGTTATTATCATAGATCCATGTGTGGGACCGGGCACGGAGCGCACAGAGTCTCCTTCGGCTTTCTCCTCACGCATTCTCCGCCGCTGTTCCAATATTTAAAACAACGTGTTTCGCCTGCGTCATATGAGCTGCTGTTGAAGGTGGTTTTGCTCTAAAAAGAGCAAACATAGGCAGAGCAGACATGCTGCACATACGAGCCCTCTGTTTTCCGCCGGTTCCGCGTCTATCCTCTGTGAGCTCTCGCTGTCCAATAGGAGCGCCGATCGTCACACGTGTCAATATGTTTATATAAAAAAGTTCACTTGCAAAAAGGACAGTCTGAATACGAACCGGAGCAAAAGAAAAAAGTTTGGTCCGCTTTTGATTCGGATCAAGCAAGCGGAGCAAAGGACTTTTCAGGTCTGAATACACCCTTAAATTCAATGCTAGCGCCTTTTTTGTTTATTTTGCTGTGATTAACTTCCATTTATCAAGTTTTTTTTACACTGTCCACTCTGTAATTAGTTTGATCATCTAGTTAGTCTGTCAGCCGATATTATAATAGATTTATGGGGTCACAACGGACTACGCCACTACTGTCTCTGAGAGAAACTATCGGAGCTAGCCACACTCAGTAAGCGCAAATGACAATCAATCAACACATTTAAATGTTGATGGGAGAATATATTATAAATAATCGTAACACAGGTGCACGGAGGTTTTCAGAATTATCTGTTAAGGTTTTCAGGACAAAAATACTTTTTTAATGCGACTAAAGCGATCTCTTTTTTGAAGTAGGTTAACCAGCCTCACTGTTACTCGCCTGCCACGGGAAAACCTTTGGGAACTATTTTCTTTGCACTCATTAAATAAACCTTTTGGCATTAATAGTGACAGAAGTTAATTTTGTGTGTTCAGTTGGTACAAAGCCGTATAATAAGCGGACCCCGACGCACTTCGTCGGTACTTATTTTCCGAAAGTCACGAAGTTGAAAAAATCCCTCTCATCTTTCTTCAGGTGTGAGAATTGTATACATTCTGGATTAGGACAAACAATACTAATATGGATTGATGGGGTAAATGGTATAAAGAGAAAGTTTGTGCTAACTACATTAAGAAGAGCTCAGACGGACCTGATACAGCGGTCCAGGTCCAGTCCCAGCTAAACGTGGCTCAGACTGGATCTGGATGCTCCACAGTTGGTCCAGCGAAGTGTTTTGAAAAAACATGTGTCCTTTTTAACCTTTTCATGAGAGAAATTCTGCCGATCACAAGCACAGACCCACCTCTTGCACTTGTCCTGGTCTGGTCCTGGTCTGGTTCGATGGTGTGGTTTAATGAACGGGTTGAACGTTACTTTCATAGTCCTTTTCAGAGTATCTGAAATCGCTCCGACAAGCACCATAACTGCATTGTTTTGTTGTCACCATGATTCAATGATTTAGCCCAAGTAAATACACAGGCGTATGTGGAGAACACAGTAGTACTCAACGGAGTCGAACACAATGTTTGTCCGAAACATGCGCGCATGCGCAGTCATCGGAGCTATTTTTAGCACATTTCGGAAACGGGACAGTGCCCTATGTCATTCTATACGTCTCCGTTTCCTCAAATGAGAACTTTCCACAATTTAGCAAGCCCTCTCACAGAGTTACACAATCAATGCTTCTGTCATTCAATCTTGTAATACACATGAAAGTAAAACATCTCAAAAAACAGAGCATACATTCTATAATACTTCTGGTTACATGAGAATATAAAACACAGCATATTCCTATGTGATATAAAACTGATATGGACCTCCATCCATGGATGCAAACATGCACTCTCAACATGGTCAAATGTATGCAGTCTCAAAATGTCAATGTGCTTCTTTTATTACTAATCAAACTGCACATTATTATTGTAAGGCAGGCCTACTTTGCCTCCTGACATGGATGAACCACCTGTTTGAAACTGTTACTACTGCTAATCCTCACGTAGGTCTGTAAGCTTCGACAATTATTACTACTTTTCTTAACACCGGTTGATAACCTTTTTAAGTGTAGTGTGAGCGAGTTAGAATAACTCAAAACACTTTTGGAACACTGCGTTTAAACACTGTATCTGTGATTTTTCAGAGTGATGGAGCAGCACAAACTTTCCAAAGACCAATGGGAGGAGAGGATTCAGGTGTGGCACGAGGAGCACCACGGCATGCTCAAGTCAGTGTTAAAACATGAACATGGTTTATGTCTCCTCTGGTTCCTCTGTACTTCTGTTTCCATGACTCCAACTTCTGCTTAAACACAGAGGGGAAAACGACTGGGTATGGGTTGGATTGCATGTGTAGGGCACATTTTTTTACAACTACACAACCAGGTGCAGTTATGTGTAAAGTAATCCACACTCAGAAACACTATAGACTAAACACATACTGTATTTACTTTGAATAATCTTGCTTTTTCCTAAATGTTTTGTTGTACAAACATGCAATACAGTGTGAATATTCTAAATTATAATTTTATCTGCTATATGCGCACGACACACATGTCTTCTCCATTGATGAATGTGAACTAGAACTGCGCGTTATGCCGCACACAGACAAGTAATATGCGTATATAATAGGGCTGTCAAACGATGCTCAGTTGGTAGAGCATTGGCCTTCAGGCCTGAAGGTCGTGGTTCAATTCCCACCTCTACACCTTCTCCACCGACTCCCACTGATGACTGCTGTCGTTGTGTCCTTGGGCAAGACACTTAACCCCACTTTGCCCAAAGCCCCCACTGAAAGATCAAGGCTATGCTCACACTCAGAGAGCAGCCGTCCTCCTGTGGACTCACCACCTGCAGAGGGTCAGTGAGGGGCTGGTGCTATGAGACTTGGGTGGCATCTCTGACTGTCACCCCCCTGACCCAGAAATGGATTAAAGGGTAGAAAATGGATGGATGGATGGATAATCGCATTTTTAACATTCTATTTCAAATCCACTCTAATTGAAGTTAAATGAGATTATCAAATATAATGACACATTGTCATTCATACCAAATGTATGTAAATCTGTTTGATTTGCTCACAACCTTTTACTTTTGGACACAACCAAAATTAGCTGTTAATGAAAGGGTAACATTTACGTACCCCAGCTTTAATTTAGCAAGTTTAGTTTAGTTTTCAGGAGGAGACACGGTATTTGCGTGCACAGGTTACGCACAGGTTGCAACGACACGAACACAACATGATGCAGAGAATAGTCCTGTGGCGTGTATGGTCTTATATGACCACATTACCGCAGCGCCGTTCACCGTGTTGTTACCAGAGCGGCCGCAGCTGCCCCGGGGTGTGCCCGGGAAGGCGGACTTCAGTTCATAGACTGTAGCCCCGCGGTCACGCGCGTATTCTTTTAAAACTTGAATTCCCAGAAACCTGCTCTGTTGCCATCTCACACACGCATGTGTACGCGGCTCTGAGTGATAATATGGATAAGTGGGCCGGTCATTCGGACATGCTTTAATGCGTTAAATTTTTTTTAACGCGTTAATGAAAAATGTAATTAACATGAGTTAACACAATAATTTTGACAGCCCTAGTATATAATCATACATATGAAATACCTGTTAAATATGTCTTTTTTAGATTAATAGTACTACACCCAAAAATAATTGTTTTCATACGTAAACTCTCTGGTATATAGATTGACACCGCTAACCCCTGAGCGCAATTAGACCCATTAGGAAATCGCTAATAGATTAAATGTTGCTCTTATCTGTACGGCCTGTGGTTTGTCTCTGGTCTCTCATGTATTGCCCCCCTCAAAAACGCAGATTTCCTGCCCACGAGCACAAACATAAACCTTTAAAGGGCAAGACTGTTCATCTGTATTGTTGCATACAGTGACATTACTCACATGACTCACAGGGAGGATGCCATGTTGGAGTACCTGAAGATTGCTCAGGATCTGGAGATGTACGGTGTCAACTACTTTGATATCAAGAATAAGAAAGGCACCGAGCTCTGGCTGGGAGTGGATGCCCAGGGACTTAACATCTATGAGAAGGACGACAGGTTTGTTTTACTTGTTTGTTTTCACCACACCTCTACTCTCTATTCTTTTTAAGCATTTTATTTGCAAATGCTGCAACCAGTGGGGGCGGGTCCCGGCTCAAAAGTGGCCAAAATGTCGTGCGCTGCCGCTGACATGCTTGCAATACCACCCCGGGCCGATGGGGAATAAGAATTAGCCAATGCTAACATATAGCATCTTCTTATCTCTCGAAAACACCTTTACAGGATGGTCCAAAAGTTGGCTCTTGGTTCCACATGTGTGTCAATGCTGAGGGGAGTGCATTTTTTTGGTCCACTCTAGTTTAGTTGCTCTGAATTTTTGAAGTCTCTCGTTCAAATGAATGGAGCTGCGTCGGCTGACGCATGCACAGATACATTTTTTCACAATTTTCTTGTGGGCGGGACCACTCGCGGCCGTTTTGGATTGCTCCAATAGAGCCCAATGTTTGGCCCATTTGTTTGAACGGCGGAGATAGGCGTGACTACGTCCGTTAATATTTACAGTCTATTGCTGCAACCAATATTGAATGGATTAATATTGATCAAAAAAATACACACAAAAATACCGTTTTCTATTTTTGTAACTCAAATAACACAGAAACACGATATCATTCAGTCTTGTTTTATAAAGTCTAGTGCTATTCAAAGCCCCAAGTGACATCCATCTTCTTCCCCTTACTCATTTCTGGGGCGGGGCTGTCTGAATTACTAATATATTGGATCAGAACACACCTCGGCGCAAAGACGAGGTCCCGAGGCAAGTTGAAACGCCAACCCATGTCGCTCAATGTATAAGAATGAAACAACGGATTAGCCACATGACTATGGGTTCAATCACACTTGTTGGACTGGTTTACTTACACAGGAATCAATCTGGTTCACTTGGGGAAAAAACTGCTTTCTTTTTAAAGTGATTGTGTTCACTTATCACTTAAGTCCAATCTTTTTGAGCACATCTGTGAAGCCTTTATCCCCAAGTGAAGCATTTGCCTTTAAATTACCTTTTTTGGCAAAATATGCTGACTTATTTAACCTGCAAATGCACCGTAGGGGTAGGAGCATGGGATGTGTTGCCAAAGAAAAACGTTTGAGAAACACTGGTTACATGTTGTTACTGTTAATAAATAAGTCAAATGTTTGCACTTGATATGAATTCTCACACATAAAGAAGTGTGGGGACGACAGTAATTTACTCAAATGGTAAAACATTACATAATTAAGCCTTGGATAGGAGAACTGAGAACGGAATATCCATGGCTCATAAAAACACGATTGACAACACGTTTCACATTTAAAATATAACTCCCATTTATAGTTGACAGTGTTGTACATAATACTGTCTCTTTTGCTGTGTGTAACAGTTGTTCTCTTCACACATCCCCAGGTTAACTCCAAAGATTGGATTTCCCTGGAGCGAGATCAGAAACATTTCCTTCAATGACAAGAAGTTCATTATTAAACCCATTGACAAGAAGTCTCCAGTGAGTATTTCCCCCTCACTCATTTACAGAGATACTAGCATCATGTCTGTTACAATAGTGAGGGATAGTGCTATAGTGTATATCAGAAATTATATAACATAAACAAGTAAATAAGAAACAATAATATCAGGCACAAGCAGGCAACATGTAACTAACAGTATTTGTAAATGTGATATCTATCGCAGTGGTATTAGGTCAACGCACGTTTTTGTTACACACTTGTCACTCGTCTCTATTCCGCACCCAATCTTGACACGTCCAGTCTGCACAGAAGTTACTTCTGGAGTTAAAAAACCATAAACAATAACTTACAACAATGTAGGTTAATGTTAAGGTCATATTTAGGGTTCTGGTTAGGGCTGGATATCTAAGCACACCATCAGTGTGGTACGGCTCACATATGGAGGGCTGTGCTGTGCTGTCACAATTAGAGCTAAAGCTCAAAAAAGTAATTTCAGAAATAATGTGGAGCCAAATGTATCCAAATGTGTTTGGTAGCAATGACCAAGCATCCAAGTACAGAAAACTCACAGAACATGGAACACTGCTGCTGGCTACGGTGTAGGAACCCTGGGGGAACTCATTGTGTTTGATGACCTGTAGTGTGTCTGGTGGCAAGAATGTGGTTATTTAGGTAAAATGCATATTCCAACAGTCCACACACACAAACACACACACTTGGTGTAAAGTATTACTTTACCCCCGACGACAATTGACTGGTTTGACAGGTCAATCTCTGTCCTTTTTCTTCATTAGTTTTGATATTCAAAAATCAATGGTAAATATAGTATTTTTCAAAAAATGTGTGGTTCAACTTGTATTTTGCAGGACTTTGTTTTCCTTGCCCGCCGTCTGCGCGTTAACAAGCGCATTCTGGAGCTGTGCATGGGTAACCATGAGCTGTACATGAAGAGGAGGAGGCCTGACAGTATCGAGGTCCAGCAGATGAAGGCCCAGGCGCAAGAAGAAAAGCAGCAGAGGCAGATGGAGAGGTGAGGACTCTTCAATTCATCCATTCTGTGCAACTGGCTTCATCACTATTGTTCAAGTCTAGTTCTAGAAATACACTCTGAGCGCTGACTTCAGTCCCATGCCTTAAAAGAATCCTGGATCCAGACTGTGATCTTGATAATTTCCCCATAACTTATTGATTTATCTGGAGGTTTCAGCGAGAAGCAGTGAAAATGGTGAATGAAGAGTATTGGAGGAGACAAAAACTGTTTTATTGCACTGGGAAAACCAAAACACGTGTTCATACGTGACAAGTGGTTCAGAGCAGTCACAACGACAGGTCCAGCTTCTGCATCTGCCACAATATCAATTCCTATGTTTTTGATTTCATTATGAAAAATAGAAAAACAGTCTTTGGTATTTCAGAACAAAAAACAAAACACCTTGTTTTCTTTAGAGAATCCAAATACCAAAGTAAACTGACCCTGGCAGAATAAAATATGATTTATGATTAAGAGTCCAGCTATTGACGAGAGGGAGGTCTGTGAGGGAGGTCTGAGAGGGAGGTCAGTGAGGGAGGTCTGTGAGGGAGGTCTGTGAGGGAGGTCTGTGAGGGAGGTCTGAGAGGGAGGTCTGTGAGGGAGGTCTGTGAGGGAAGTCTGTGAGGGAGGTCAGTGAGGGAGGTCTGTGAGGGAGGTCTGTGAGGGAGGTCTGTGAGGGAGGTCTGAGAGGGAGGTCTGTGAGGGAGGTCTGTGAGGGAGGTCTGTGAGGGAGGTCTGTGAGGGAGGTCTGTGAGGGAAGTCTGTGAGGGAGGTCAGTGAGGGAGGTCTGAGAGGGAGGTCTGTGAGGGAGGTCTGTGAGGGAGGTCTGAGAGGGAGGTCAGTGAGGGAGGTCTGTGAGGGAGGTCTGTGAGGGAGGTCTGTGAGGGAGGTCTGAGAGGGAGGTCTGTGAGGGAGGTCTGTGAGGGAGGTCTGTGAGGGAGGTCTGTGAGGGAGGTCTGTGAGGGAGGTCTGTGAGGGAGGTCTGTGAGGGAGGTCGTGAGGGAGGTCTGTGAGGGAGGTCTGTGAGGGAGGTCTGTGAGGGAGGTCTGTGAGGGAGGTCTGTGAGGGAGGTCTGTGAGGGAGGTCTGAGAGGGAGGTCTGTGAGGGAGGTCTGTGAGGGAGGTCTGTGAGGGAGGTCTGTGAGGGAGGTCTGTGAGGGAGGTCTGTGAGGGAGGTCTGTGAGGGAGGTCTGTGAGGGAGGTCTGTGAGGGAGGTCTGAGGGAGGTCTGTGAGGGAGGTCGTGAGGGAGGTCTGTGAGGGAGGTCTGTGAGGGAGGTCTGTGAGGGAGGTCGTGTGGGAGGTCTGTGAGGGAGGTCGGTGAGGGAGGTCTGTGAGGGAAGTCTGAGAGGGAGGTCTGTGAGGGAGGTCTGTGAGGGAGGTCTGTGAGGGAGGTCTGTGAGGGAAGTCTGTGAGGGAGGTCTGAGAGGGAGGTCTGTGAGGGAGGTCTGTGAGGGAGGTCTGTGAGGGAGGTCTGTGAGGGAAGTCTGTGAGGGAGGTCTGTGAGGGAGGTCTGAGAGGGAGGTCAGTGAGGGAGGTCTGTGAGGGAGGTCTGTGAGGGAGGTCTGTGAGGGAAGTCTGTGAGGGAGGCCTGTGAGGGAGGTCTGTGAGGGAGGTCTGTGAGGGAGGTCTGTGAGGGAGGTCTGTGAGGGAAGTCTGTGAGGGAGGTCTGAGAGGGAGGTCAGTGAGGGAGGTCTGTGAGGGAGGTCTGTGAGGGAGGTCTGTGAGGGAGGTCTGTGAGGGAGGTCTGTGAGGGAGGTCTGTGAGGGAGGTCAGTGAGGGAGGTCTGTGAGGGAGGTCTGTGAGGGAGGTCTGTGAGGGAGGCCTGTGAGGGAGGTCTGTGAGGGAGGTCTGTGAGGGAGGTCTGTGAGGGAAGTCTCTGTGAGGGAGGTCAGTGAGGGAGGTCTGTGAGGGAGGTCAGTGAGGGAGGTCTGTGAGGGAGGTCAGTGAGGGAGGTCTGTGAGGGAGGTCTGAGAGGGAGGTCAGTGAGGGAGGTCTGTGAGGGAGGTCAGTGAGGGAGGTCAGTGAGGGAGGTCTGTGAGGGAAGTCTGTGAGGGAGGTCTGTGAGGGAGGTCAGTGAGGGAGGTCTGTGAGGGAGGTCTGTGAGGGAAGTCAGTGAGGGAGGTCTGTGAGGGAGGTCGGTGAGGGAGGTCTGTGAGGGAGGTCGGTGAGGGAGGTCAGTGAGGGAGGTCTGTGAGGGAAGTCTGTGAGGGAGGTCTGTGAGGGAGGTCAGTGAGGGAGGTCTGTGAGGGAGGTCTGTGAGGGAGGTCTGTGAGGGAGGTCTGTGAGGGAGGTCTGTGAGGGAGGTCTGTGAGGGAGGTCTGTGAGGGAGGTCTGTGAGGGAGGTCTGTGAGGGAGGCCTGTGAGGGAGGTCTGTGAGGGAGGTCTGTGAGGGAGGTCTGTGGCAGCTGTAGGTGCAGAGATATCTTTGTGTGTGGTTCTGTGTGCTATTGTTATCCAGTCCTTTGTGGTGTGACTGCAGTCTGTGTGTTATCTACAGAGCTCAGTTCGAGAACGAGAAGAAGATGCGCGAATCCATTGAGAGAGAGAAGGAACAGATGGAAAGAGATAAGCAACAACTACAGAGGAGGCTGTATCAGGTGGAGGAGAAGACCAAGAAGGCGGAGAGAGGTGACTACGCAGTTCAATCATCTGTCATTAATTGTTTTATTCTTATTTTTATCTCAATTCATGCATGATTGAGTTAATCATATCCTCATATACACCAGGCATTCTGACTACAAACACTTGGCCCATTCTCCATGTTTTATATTCTTTGCCAATTTTCTTTCATTCCTTGACATGTGGAGGACTCAGCCTTTCACAGTCCCTTTTCTCAAAAGAGACAAATACAGAGTTTCTGTAGAGAACATGGCTGTATCCAAATTCAATAAACACACGTTCCCTCTTCTTTTTTTTGTTATAAGTTAGGAATAAGTTGGAATGAATATTACATTTAGTATCGATACTACTTATAAGGGAATTTAATTCAACTTGAACAAACATTATCTCATAAGAGGATAAGGAATAATAAAAATCAAATGGAATGTGTTGTATACATTACACTGTTGATGCAGTAAACAAATGTTTAAAAATAAGCCTGAAAAAAACAAACTGTAGTAAATAGACTACTAATAGTAAAAACATTAATAAAGAATAAAATCATATTGACACTTTGACCAGAAAAGATTGTGTATGGTTTCAGATAATATCCTTGTGTCTTTTTACACAAATGTATTTGTCATTTAAAATGATATTGTAATTAAAGTGTACCTGTCAATGTACAACATTACTGTGCTAATGTTTGGGAAGTCAAAAAAAGTTGCATCATTCTAAGGTTATGAAAAATTGTGTAAAGAAAAAAAAAAAATTGCATTCAAAATCTAGTATATTCCACCTCTGACTGTGCGAATGGGCATGTTTCAGACCTCCAGGACCAGTTGCAGAGGGCCATGACCCTGGAGCAGGAACGCATGAGGGTGGAACAGGAAGCAGCCCGTCTGGAGAGTGAGCGACAGGCTGCACTTCTGGCCAAAGAGGAACTGGCCCGACACGCAGCGGACCAACAGAAGAGCCAGGAGCAGCTGGTGAGTGCAGAACGGTGCAGGCTATGACCCCCGACTCTCACATCGATTTGAAGTTACAGACTGGAGAACGCAGTACTTTTTCTCGGGACCGAATCTGGCTTATTTCTTGACATTAAGATCAGCAGGAGGAGGGGATTCAAAGCCATAACTGTACCTCTGGTTGTAGGAACTCTCAGTACCATCAGAAAAAGATTTGAAAGGAACCAAAGAGAGGGACATGATAATGCACTCACGTTGGCTGAACACATCCTGAGACAAGTCCTGGGTTAGATCCTGTGTCTCAGGTCAAGAAGAGTTCTTAGAATAAAGATGATAATTATTTATTATCTTTTAAAAATACATCCATTCCATTGTGTTTCACAGTCCTTTGAGCTGGCAGAAAGGACAGCCACGATTGAACGTCTAGAAGAAGCTAAGAGACTCAAAGAAGAGGAGGTGAACTCATGGCAGCTCAAGGTGAGAACTTTCAGAATTTCCAGATAATGCACGTCCGTTATATTACGATATGTAGTATTAATTGTTGGTTCAATATCAGACTGGAATCACTGTCACAATGAATTGTCATTGTTCCTATTTCCTATTTCATTTGCCCCAAATAAATAGCGCATGTGCAATTAATTACTGGGTATCAACGAGAGAGTTCACAAGAGTCTCAGATATATTTCAGAAATACTATAGCCAGCTGTATGTACTAAGTAACAACCTTTTTGCCAAGGTACTTGTTCCTCCACTACTACAACTGTAGCCACAGATTCCCTGGGGTACACTAAATGCAGGTGTTACACTGACCTCTATGTAGAGCTCAGATTCAGAGAAGCTCCAGATCCAGATCTGTGTGTTGAAGGTGTTTGTACAAGGCTGTATTGCGCCTGAGTGCCCAATATGATCCAAGCTCGTATTCATTATTGGTGCATTGTGTGAAAGGCTCGCGCTGCTCAGGACGACCTGCTAAAGACCAGGGAGGAGCTGAATCATGTGATGGAGCAGCCCCCGCCCCCGCCCCCGCCGCCTTCCACCATGCTGTATGACCACCTGGGCGACAACAGTGACAGCGACAGTGAGGAGGGCCACGAGGCACACCTGGACACACTGCACGAAGACTACTCTGAGAGTGAGCGGCTGACTGAGGCACAGAAGAACCTCCGAGTGCAGGAGCAGCTCAAGGTAACTCCACGCCATTCTTTTTTGGTTACAGAAAATAATTACTACATATTGACGGTGCAACGGTATGGTGATGAAAATCTAAATTATATGTTTTCATTGTACATGCCTCTACATTGCAAAAAGTGATTAAAATAAGCAAAATATTTGCAAAATGCATCTTAATATGACCACATTTTGACTGCCTTAAAACGAGATTTGCCAATGGGACAAAGTAAAATGTCGAATTAAAATGAAAAGAAATGTCTTTTATGGAATGAGAAAATTCCATGAGTTCTTGTAATAATACTAAATGTATTTATCCTATTGACAAATCTTGTTTTAAAGAAAATTAAGAAAACAAAAATACACTCGATTCAAGAAATCTCATACTTTATCATTTGTTGCAGTGTAGTTCCATTTGACCATGTTTGAAACTATGGGAAATAAAACTCACAATAGAGCCACTTTGGACAGCCAGTATTGTTGCAAATGTGCTCTATAGTAAAGTTGACATTGCACTTATTGAAATGAGTGGAGGTAACCCGTCACATATAGTTCCAACTTTTATGTCTACTCTTCCCCAGACCTTGACAGAAGAATTGGTTCAGGCTCGAGACGAATCGAAGAAAACCCAGAATGACCTCCTGCACAGCGCCAACGTGCGCGAGGGCCGCGACAAGTACAAGACGCTGCGGCAGATCCGGCAGGGAAACACCAAGCAGCGCATCGACGAGTTTGAGGCCTTGTAAAAATAATCCCCAGAGCCCAAAGCTCACTGCGGAAAACAGACTCTTGGAAGTGGAGCAGAAGAAAGCACAGCACAAACACTCTCGTGCCAAACCGTTTCGGGACCAACAGATGCTGGATGTGGATTGTGAAAATTTAAGATGTTTTTTATAAGCACATATCCAAAAACGCTGACGCATGTTGAAGCTGATCACTATTTGTTGTCCAATGGCTCCACAAACTATTAATTCTATCATATGATTATTACGATAGAGAAGAATTAAGATTAAGAGATTCTTTATTCGTCCCGCAGTGGGGAAATTTCCGGTTGCAGACCAGTAGGAGTGAGGAGCACACAGCGCAAGATAAACGAACGATAAACGAATCAAATAACTCAATACAAAAATAAGTATAAAATCTCTATCTTTAGCATAATGAGTACAAAAAACTCTGACTTTAGCGTAAAAACAAGCAGGTATAACGTACTGTGTTTTCTAGTGCAATTAATATATGACTGTAGCCTTTAAGTTTGGATAATGTCACCACTTTCCAAAGCTGAAAAATGACTTAATCCTTGTTATGTTTTTCCCACAACAGAAAAGACATAAAAACGAGCTCAATCATGACAAGCAACATTTTTAAACAGCCAATTCTTAACTCGCCACATTTTAACTTTATGTCTTATGTGTTGATTGTAACGCTGATCATGTTGTTGAAGTTAGTCCATAAATCTGCTGCGTCGTGACAACCTCGTACAAACACACCAGCCAGCAGCTTTGAAACTATGCACTGTCGTTAAGATTCATATTTCAGGGTCATGGCCGTGAACGCTGTTGTCGCGGCATAATCTAAATACCTATACATGCTACAGTATTGAGGAAGTCGCTTTTTTTTAAATAATGTGTTGCTTTCTACAAAGTCAGAAGTATAGTATTTGGTGGGATATCGTATTAGTTTGAAGCGTTCCTGTAATTAATGCTCCGTAATGAGATGCAGTATAGCGACATATCAGCACTTTGAACAAAACATGTCTTTTTTAGCCCCAAATACACAGAGAAAAGTAAAAAGTAAAACATCCTCTACATTTTTACCGTTTAAAACAAAAGTGTTGCCTCCAAAATAATGTGGTTTTAGTGATGTGAATGAGACTGACTCTGCCTATAGTATGATGTCACCAGTTCGAGAGAAGAAAAAAAAACTTAAATATATTTTACACTTTTCCTCACAAACGTTATTTGAATACACCTGCTTTAAAGGCCGAAATGAACACCAACATTAATATGCACATCAGATGTCCTTCAATGAACTTCACAAAACCTGCACAGTCCTCCTAAATTCTATTTCTTGAGCTATAGCTACCATCACAGAAATCTCAAACATACACAATAGTTTTACAAATCACTCCATTTCTATGATTTTTCTTGGATCACAAACTTAACCTGGACAGTTACGCGCGTAGGATTAATTGGTGGTATCTTGAGTAAAATAATTCCAGCTACAATAGAGAAAAGTTGCATTGTGCCCTTGAATGTGTTTTATATTCTTACCCCAATGTAAATAATACTCAGTGCCACAATACAGTACAAATGCATTAAAAAAAGTATGTATGAGTCTATTTAGAAAAACAAATCTGTGCTGAGACTAATCTTGCACGAGTGAGATTGCATACTTTATAGTGAGCTCTGTGATTGGCATGTCAAGGCACGCGTTAGAAGCAGGTTTTAGTGTTTGAAGAAAGTGTAATGCAATTTGAATGCTTAATTTAAAACATGTCTAAAATCCTGCTTTAGTGTCCTGTTTATACTGTCTGTGGGTTGTGATTTTTCACTCAGATGTATTTTTTTTTTCTCTTGGCTTACAATATATGTATATGGAGTGTTGGAAAGCTTTTGAAGTATAAGGTGCATTAGAAAATAAAGACATTTTGTTGTTCAAGTTCTGTGTAGATCTCCTACAGTGCTTTGCTATATTAGATCTGATCGACATACTATTATGGCTAAACTATTTTTTTGTTTTTTGTTTGTTTGATTATCTAAATGCAATTACTTCATCTACTGAAAAAGTTTGAAACTACAATCTTTAACTCATTGACTGCCTTTGACGTATTTGTCTAAGACTGGTGATTTCTGTCAAACTTCCCTCTATTCGACTGGGGATTACAGGACAAAAAAACTAGCTAGAAACAAACGTATTTTTGCTGATGAAAGTAGATAATCCAGTCTTTCCGAATCTGGTTTCCTATTTCACATCGTCATAGCACATAATATTCTGTGGGTCTTGAGAATCAGTGAAATCATCAAAAACGGCTGGCAGTCAATGGGGACGTAGGACCATATATTATTATTACCATATATTGAAAGATTCAGTTTATGTGTACATTTACTCATATCTTTCAAGCCTGGACCATCAGAGCACACCTCTGCTGTGGGAAGACGCCAGTCCTGTTGCTAAAACCAAAGCTGTGGTCAGTATTAGCCTTAATCAAACCCATCACAGAGAGTCCATACACCCCAAGAGCGCACCATGGTTTCTGTACGGCTCCACGTGTGGAAAAGCTTGCCCTGGTTCTCAGAGTTAAGCTCTGGTCAGCGTCTGCTTTGATCAAATGACCTACATAGACCCACTTGATAAGAAACCAGTTCACATTGGACAAAGGACACATCATCAATTCAAGCACTCAAGGAATGTCAATATCCCAGATGGGCAGAACAAAAAGGAAGACAACAGGTACCTAACAAAAAAACCACACTAAAAGAGAAGTTACAAAGAGCACATGGAAAACACAACATCAATGCAATAATTCAACCACACAAAAGGTTTGGACAAATCCTCGCACACCCAAAAAACAGGATACAACCGCAGAGTGCGATATCAAAAATAAAATCTACAGTATACTAATACCCAAATATGGTCCCCCGGAGTAAATAATTGCCCACCGCTGTTCTATAACTACATAGGTGTAAAAAGCTAATATCATGTATTTATAGCTAATTTATTATTATTGTCTTATTTAATTGATGTAAATAGTTTTACCTGTGTTATACCGTACATGTACAGCATGTGGTACAAATATCCTACGAAAAGCCACCTGATCTTTTGGATTCAAAATAAAAATGTGTACTACAAAAAGAGAGAGTAAAAAAATAAAAAAATATATACATGTATCTTAAACATAAATAAAAGTAAGTAAAAAAACGGATTAAAAATGATAAAGATGTATTTTTTTCACAGTGTATTGTGAAAGTTCAGGTTTGATGTGTTTTTGAATGTGCACATCCAAGTTCGAGGTTTTTCTTCATTTATTTAATTTCTAATGAATGATGCCTATTTTTAATTTCATGGATTAGCCTAAACGGCCTCACATATTCTTCGATCATGTGTTTGCACTTTGAGTCATTTCCACCCGTTTACCATCGCTACACTTTTACCTGTTTTATTTCAACTGAAAACACGAGCGTTGCTGCTAGTAGTGCAGCAACGCGGTGTATCCACTAGAGGGAGCCAACAACCAAGAAATAACTCCAAACTCTCACCTTGCATCTTTACTCCTGTGTATAGTTGTAAATGTCTAATTCTATATATTCAGATGTACATTTGTACCATAAAAACATGTACATGCTGTAGGCCTATATTTGTGTTTATGATTTGGTAAAAAGCTATGAAACAGTTGACAATATCACTTACTAATGGGGGTTACCAAATAATTCTGAGGTGGGGCGCTGATTTGAGGTCTAAAGAGCTGACATGTCTCCAATCCAAGAGTACACGGGCAGGAGAGAGGTAGTATATTTTATTTTGGATAACTGTGTTAGAGGTGAAGATTGTGTTTATGGTACGGTATTGATATTCTCCCATCACTCCGTTCCCCGGTCATTCAATCAGTCATTACATTCCTACCTATTGAACTTTGTTTTTAGTGGTAGGGGAAACCGGAGCACCCAGAGGAAACCTGAGCACCCCGGAGAAAACCTACGCAGAAATGGGGAGATCACTCAGAAAGACCCTGTTCCGACCGGGATTTGAATCTAGGACCTTTTTGCTGAGAAGCTTGAGTGCCATCCACGCAGCCACCGTGCCGCCCTCAGTATATCAAGAACACCACATGTATTTTATGAACCGAAAATGAAACAACAGAAATCTGAGTTTCAAGTCAAAATCCAATGTTTGAGACGTCTCAAGAAGAAAGAGTTTATGCTTCCCTCCAAATACAATTGCCTCATTTATACTTAATAATGAATACATTCTAAAATTGTAGTTTCTTATTATACACTGTATATAATGATTTCAGAATTGGACTAAACAGACTTAAAAGCACTACTGCACTTCCGTCTAAGTTTTTTTCCTGTAATATTCCTTTTTATTGTTTAGTATTAATTCTTGTAGATTCTTATCTGTTATACTCATTTGGCTTTAATTGCTTCACAAATCCCACTAAAATTACTGAAATTAAAGTTGTTGTGTTATCATTCATAATATCCAAATTATGGCCTAAAAAAATCTTGTGGTTTTGCTCAGTGGGAATGACACCACTGATCAAAGCTGATTTGACCCATTAATAGTTATGCCACAGTGACAGTATTTCCATCTGCTGAAAACATCTATATTTCCTCAGATATAAAAGCACAGTAAAAGTAAGTAATTAGAGGCCGTTCAGTTCTATGCATCGGTGGGTGGCCGAGCATTGCACCTGCTCAAAGTGACATTACGACCGCTGCTAATTGGACAAATCTATTTATTCCATTATTGCAATAAGCTTTCTAAATAGCTGCAGTTCAAAGAGTTCCTCCGCTGCTCATACTTATAAAATAGTGAGTGTGTTCTGCAAGACCTAACTACTACTTAGCGAATACAAGCTTTTAAAAGCGGCCAAGAATGTGGTTATGCCTCTATAAAAAGACCAAAGCTTCCAAATCCGGGAGCATGCACTGCAAAAAATAATGTAAATGGACTTTTATTCAAGCATTATTTATGAGTCATATATAGAGCTGGTGAAAAAAAAATATTTAATTGAGTAATCAAATTT